AACAAAAACAGCCAGGCATGGTGGCTCATGCCTGTGATCCCAACACTTTGGGAGGTGGAGGTGAGAGGACTGCCTGCGCCCAAGGGTTCAAGACCAATCTGGGCAACTTGGCAAGACCTCGTCTCAACAATAAATCAAAAAAGTAATCCAGCAGGTCGAGGCTGCTGTGGCCATGAGCGTGCCACTGCACTCCAGCCTGGGAGACAAAGTTGAGATTCCGACTCAAAAAAAAGCAGCAATTAAGTTTAAAAAAAGAAAGAAAGAAAGAAAACAAAAAAATTGGCCGGGCTTGGTGGCTCAGCCTGTAATCCCGGCACTTTGGGAGGCTGAGGTGAGTGGATTGCCTGAGCCTGCGGGTTCGAGACCCACCTGCGCAACTTGGCGAGACCTCATCTCTACAATAAATCAAAAAATGAGCCGGGCGTGGTAGCGCGCACCTGTAGTTCCAGCTATTCGGAAGGCTGAGGCGGAAGGATCGCTGGAGCCCGGCAGGTCGAGGCTGCGGTGGCCGGGAGTGGCCACTGCACTCCCGTCTGGGTGACAGTGAGACTCCAACTCAAAAAAAAAAAAACCAAAAAAACAGGCACAGCAGCTCATGCCTATAATCCCAGCACTTTGGGAGGCCGAGATGAGAGGATTGCCTGAGCCCAGGATTCAAGACCAACCTGGGCAACATGACAAGTCCTAGTTCTCTGTAATAATTCAAAAAACTTAGCCAGGTGTGGTGTCATGCGCCTGTGGTTCCCGCTACTTGGAAGGCTAAGGCAGAAGGATCACCTGAGCCCAACAGGTTGAGGCTGTGAGTGTGCCACTGCACTCCAGCCTGGGCGACAGCGTGAGACTGTGACTCCAAAAAAACAAGGTCTAACAGCCATGGGTTGGGAGGGATGTCTAGAGGCCACATTCCAAACTTATCTCCAAGGGGTGGAAGAATTAGGAGAATCAGGGCCGCTGAGGCTTTCACTTGTTTATACACTTGTGGGGAAAAGGTCAAAAGGCAGCAGGGTACATGTGTAAGGCCTCAAGCACGGGAATCCTAGGGGCCCGGGTTCAGACCCACCTCCCATGCCCCACCATCACCTGTGCAATGCTGTGTGACCAGGGACGCATTGCCACGTTCAAACACTGAGTCCCCCCAGAAGGCTGGCACCTGCTCGGGTGGCCCTGTGTCCACGTCCCAGTTCGCCACTTGCTGGAAACAGGACAGCAACAGCCCCTAAGTCCTCCGGTGGCTGCGCAGGTGGGATGCAGTGACGGCAGCAGGGGTGATATCTGTCTGACATCCACTCCTTGTCAGGCTGCCTTCTGAGAGCTTCAGTCTGTGGCCTCAGGGAAGCCTCGCAGCCATTCCTCTGGAGTTGAGGAACTGGCCCAGAGAGATGCGGGGCCTTGCACAGGGTGGGACTGAGCCCGCCAGTGGGCAGGCTGCACCGGCCCCCGGAGCCATTTGCTGCCCCAGGACCCCTGAACCCACCCGCCTGACGTCGGCCCTCCCGTCCCCGCAGGAGAAGCAGGACAAGGTAGTGCTGCAGTCGGAGGTGGCCAGCCTGCGGCAGAACAACCAGCGGCTGCAGGAGGAGTCACAGGCCGCCAGTGAGCAGCTGCGCAAGTTCGCCGAGATCTTCTGCAGGGAGAAGAAGGAGCTCTGAGGCGGGAGGCGCTGCGCCCTCTGCCCAGCCCCTGGCTCGTTCCCTGCAGGCCGGCTGCGGGCCCTGATCTCTCTCCCTCTCGGCTCCTGGGTGCTGGTGTGGCCAAGATAACCCAGCAAGGGCCCTGTCCCGACGGCCCACAGCCCTCCTTGGACTCGGAAACGCCGACGGCAGAGGGACCCGAGCCGGGGTCTGCTCAGTGCTCGAGCCCCAGAGGGCAGCGCGGCCTCGGGCCCCCCTCAGCTGCCCATCTGTGGTCTTGAGCGGGACGCCCACCCCGCCCTTGGGCTGCCCTGCTGTCCTCATTAGCCTCTTAATAGGATCCAGGAGAGGGGCGAGGAGTCAGCCTCCAAGCCGTAGCTCCAGGAATCACAAACCAAGTTTCTGCACCACGTACAGCTGTGGCTTGTGGGGCCAAGCCCCCTGCATG